CAGAAAGATCATTAATAAAGGCAGAAAAAAGATATGGAGATAGAACAGCACATTGAAGAACACCAGAATTATTAACAAGAGGTTTTGAGGTCCTCCTTCCTAATTTGGTGCACTGGACCCTTTGTGTAAATTAGTCGGCAAGCCATGAGAGCAGCTGTTTTGGAGTGCCAAAAGATTCAAGTTTGAAAAGAAGAGGTGATCGGGAAACAGGATCAAACGCAGACGAACAGTCAAGAAAGACACAACGGACAGACTTGACCGAATGATTCGATGACTTACTGATTAAGTGCACCAGAGTGGATACCGCGTCCAATGAAGATCTGTTTGGTTTGTATGCAAACTGGTGAGTGTTATATCTCGTCAAGACGTATGATCGATATGAGCGCCTCCTGATTAGGTCCCAACGATTGAAGAGAAAATACGGCTGAGAAACGACAGTCAGAGTATATTATTGATCATGAATCAATACGCAAAGATATTTGGCAAATTAGGCGCACCAGAACGACATAATGACGCTCCAATCAGGTTGCGATCTCAATACTCCGGTTGATCGATCGGACGACAGCTGTCTGATTCGCCTCAGTCATCCAATCCGGAATTGATTCGGCTTGGGCGTCGCGAACGCACTCGTGGTGTGACGCGGGTCGATGCGCGGCCGGATGGATTCTGTGCACTTCGTCTTAACAGTTATGTTTTTCCATTGTTCGTAATCACTACTCGTCAGCGTCCACGGAGATTTGAACCCGAACACGACAAGGTTGTTTATCTGACACGTGATCCACCTGAGTAGTCTAGGTTAAACGTGAACAGCCTATTCCATGTCAGTACTGCGTAATATAGTGTGTGCTCATCTATCACTACCAAGGTTCGCGCGTGGTTAAACGTGAGAGCTTTTTCATTTTTACTTCCTTTTATTTAATACATAATGGTATCGATTTCAAGAAGGAGAGAAGCGGTCAGTCAAACGGGGCTGCCATACAACACACAAATAGGGAAGAATGGGGAAAGTCAGACGGTGCTAGTCGGATTCGGATACTCGTTCTCCGAGATAAAATTTGGAGATGTTACCAGCACGGCTTACTAAAGTGAAATAGTTTAAAGGTCTACCTTGAACGACAACGAATTTGGGAGACAAAGCTAAATGGTTAGCGTTTCTTTTTATTACATACCTAGGTGTGATGAACCGCAGACGGGGTAAACCCCATAGTCACGAGGACCTGCTGTTCAGTGGTTGAAATCGGCAACCTAAGCCCCGGAACTTGGAGTGGCGGCCCACATAAGGCCCCGATAGGTTAGGCGTGGTATTGAACCGGACGACAGCAGAGCTGCCTACCACCAACGTCGGGGGACGGTGGCGGGGCTCGAACCTCGGACCATAGGATCCAAAGCACACCGGTGACAGCGACTATATCACCGAACCAGCACCTGAACTGAACTGAACAATGTTCCTCAAATGTTCCAATTGTGGTTGAATTGTAGGTCTTTTTCAAATTACAAATCGATATTTAACAGATTAAAGTATCCCTTAAGGTGAGTTGTTTCACGATAAAACTTTTACGCTCGAAAACAGTCTGCCATAAAACTCAGTTTCGTTTCACCCGACCATTAATGAACTCACTCCGTCACATACCAGTCTCCGACTTGATTGTGGCGGACAGATGAAACTGCCGAAAACAATCAGGCCTCGCTTACTCGCTCTGTTTTGTACTGTCACTACGACCTGTCTGTTTTACTTACCCGTTAGCATTTCTATTGACAAATTATTGAAAATCGGTTCCCGTAGCTCGGGTGAACTGAATTCCGAGCTTGACAATTTGTTGGCAAATGTTTCAGGTCCTGATAGGAGAAATCCAGGGTCATCAATCGCAAAACATCTCATGGCAGCTGGACACATCGTTGACCCACAAATGTCGTTCCAGCCGTTATTAGGTAACATGAACTCCAGGATTTTGGCGTTTAACGAGGTAATGCTACTCAAATGACGTAACTAATCTTGTGCACATAAAGGTTTCTTACTCAATCAGTCATACTGTCATGGAACTGATTTCCCACCCCACCTTCTCCCCCGCTTCCCGGACTGTTGTCCGTTTTACCACTGTAGTTATCAAAACTTGCTTGTATAAATACCAGATTGTTTTACGTTGTAGCGACTGAAGAGATTAAAAGAAATGTTAAAATCTCGCAGTATTTGTCTTCTCTCGGTTCTAACGAAACGTTTCATCACCAGCAGCCGAAGTGACATCATCAGTGCTTGTAAAGTGGCAGTGTACTGCTTGTACCCGTTCGTTTACGTGTTCTTCTCCACCGACTATTTTTGTTCCTTGTTCTCACAGTGTTCGACTCTGTTCGCTGTTAATCTGCTGCGAGGGGGTGAGAGTGACAGGGGAGGGGGTCATCCAGATTGCGATTTCCGTCCGTTCTCAGGTCACGGTTTGACCTTTTTTGTTGCGTCATTTGAGTCATTCTTGAGTTGCATTGATGTGTGTACACGTGATCCAGTTCGATGTGCCTATCTATCGAGTTGAGTGCCACTTTTAACCGGACTTGGTCGATCATTTTCACTGATTCTATTTTCCCCCGCAGTTTTACTTTCATGCATTCATGCATTTATCTTTTTTTGTACAATTAAAGGCGAAAATCCCAATCAGATCCCTTCTGAATCATACCAGTGGAATTCGAAGTTACCACAAAGCAGCCGAAGGTAAAGGCCAATCGGTAAGTTGATTTGATCCGGGAAAGTTCAATATTGTACACTGAATGTTGATTAGTCGTGGTGATTGTGTTATATCGTTGCACCCTTAGACTGGACTAACCATGATTGCATAAATTTTGCCTCTCAAATAAGTGCGTACAAATCAATCATCGAAAATCCACAGAGTGGAATTTTTGCAATATCGACTGATTTGTTCTTACTTTCATTGATGACTCTTTTCATAGCAAAGTCAACATCTATTCTAGCATGCTAGTGGGATCCACGTGTCTTTTAGTGGATGAGATTCGGGCGAGGGGCGTTTATGGATTTTCCGAATCAATTTCGTGGAATTCACACGTCAAGAAATGCAGATACACCCGGTTGAATTTGTCATTTGTTTTTTTTTGATGTCGTAGTGTGTGATATATGGTTTTGTATGATCACAAAGACCCCTTTGGGTGATAAAAAATCCCTGAAAATTGACATGTTTTTCCACTGGGGAAGGTGTCATGCTGTATCGGGCATTATCGGTGCTATCTACCGCGAAGATTAAATGGTGATTAAGCCTGGACAAAGGTCATTTGTCTCCATGGCTATCCTGAAGAGACCGTATATATTTACTCACTGTAGCGGTCTGTCCTGATGTTTACACACATCTTAGATTCAACTCTCCACAGGTCCTCAGTCCGACTTCAAATTCCGGGGATGAGGAAACCGAACTCCCTACTGAATTAGAGAATGCTTCACTC